AGAGTGACCCGAGGCAAGAGTGACCCTATGGGTGCGCGGCCTGACAGGCCTGAGGGGGAGGGCCCCACCCGGGCGCGCCAGCCGCTGCTAGCGCATCGGCTTCAGCGATCGGGGGGCCCCAGCGTACCCGCACTGCAGTTGTGGAGGCCGTGACAATGGACACTCTAACAATCCTATGAATTAACGATGTGTTTAAACTGTGTAAAGCATGTTCTAAACACGTCGCTCTAAAAACGCCTCGAACAAGCATGCTCATTTGGCAGCATGCTCCCTCTCCACCAATCGACTTCCACGACACTACAGGTCGCTCCGGCGAAAGACCACTATCGTCGTCGAGCTGGGCCCCCTCCGCGGCGCGCGGGGCGCCGGCCGCCGCCAAGGGGGCCGCCCCCGGCGCCGACCCTGGAGCTCCGCGCGTGGGTTCCCCCTGCAGGCGTCCTCGTGCCACGTGCCGGCACCTCCGCCGCGGCCCTGGCAGCGCCATCGGGCGGAGGGCTCGCCATCGCTCGGACGTCCCTTCCCCGGGCATTTGTCCTCGGCCTCGCTGAAGGGGCCCAGGGACACGCAAATGAATAGACACAAACAACAGGATTCCCCATGTTTTCCAATCTTGTCTGGGTCTTTGTCTTCTCCCCCAAGTCCCTCATTTTTTCATATTTTCTTGAGAATCGACGATGAATTGTGTCTGTGCGTTTTTTCCCTCCTGACTCGTGGGTTTTCTTGTTCTTCTCTTCCTTGCAAGATGCGCCAAGATGCTCTTCCATCAGGGAAGCCAAAAAGTACCGAAGCCGCTGCTCCCCGGACCTCTCCCAGGGTGCGTTCTGACTAGAATCTCGAGGCGAATCCACCGGTGGCAACGAGGGCCTCCTAGGAGACCCAAACAGGCGAAAACCATGGAAGGGGAGCGGTATGGGTACCTTTTGCTCCTCCTCTGGTCGATGGTCCTCGCCGTGAGAAACAAAGCGCACGTCCGAGCGACGCCACGGGGAGGACTATGGAGCCAGATCCTGCAAACGGGGTCAGCCAGAGCGCCGGATCTTGCCGGATCCGGCAAAGGCAGGGTTGCATTGACCCAGGCTAGGGCGCAATCTCCTGCAAGATTACGCAGGATCCTGCAAAGCCTGACTGACCCAGACTTGCATTCTGTATCTGTCTGTCTGTATCTGTTGCCAGAGGTCCACCATCCACGCCTCAGCTCCCGATACAGGGCTGAAGGCCACGGGAGGGGGACCTGCCTTCAATCGGGGGCGTCCATGGAGGGGCGCGCCCAAGGGGTGGGCTCGCACACCATGGTACGAGGCATGTGCGCGGACGAGGGGCATGCTCGATGTCATGTCCCCCGCCACTGGCCATCGCTCGGACGTCCATTCCCTGCGTTTTTTGTCGGTTTCGTGCGTGGGCTTTTTCGCCAGATTATCAAGGATGGATGCTCCTCGATGTTCCTCGCCGAAGGAAAAATGCACACGTCCGAGCGATGCCAAGGCCATGATGCCCCCCCCAGTCCCCACCCCCCTCGTGGTCCACTGATCCGGGCCAGTAGTCAGCACAGGGGGCGGGGTCCTGGACCACTGGGCCTTCCCCCACAGACGAGCTCTGCCCCCTGAGCCGCCTCTTCTCGCGAGGTCTCGGGGCCCGGAGAGCCCCGAGAGCCCAGCGGCGGCGCGCAGAGGGGATAGAGGAGGCCGCTTCTCAGAAGGCGCTGGCCCCACGAGGCCTTCCCCCCCTCCCCCTCCCCTCCCCCGCTCCAAGAGGTTCTGAGAGGCCTCTCAGAAGTGCTTCTGAGAGGCCTCCTAGAAGTGCTTCTAAGAGGCCTTCCCCCCCTCCCCCTCCCCCCCTTCTGCGCGTGGCCAGCCCATGGCGACGCAGGCGCCCGAAGCAGAAGAAGACGAAGGGAAAGACGCCGCGAACAGCAGCTGCTGGCGCTCCGCGCTCCGCCGGGGGGGGGGGGCCCGCGCGGGCGCAAGAAAGGCCCCGCGCGGAGCGCCAAGAGTTTACAGCGGAGGCCCGTCCTCAAGAAACCTTCCACATTTTCTGGACATTTTCTGCACATGTTCTGCACATTCCCTGCATAGTTTTCTGCGCATTTTCTGGCCTTCGCCTTCCATGCCAATGTGTGCCGATGCGCCGACTAGGCGCGGCTTCTTCTGTCTGTCTGTCTTGTCTGCCCGTCCTCAAGAGACCTTCCACGAGAACCCCAACCCTGAGACCCCAGGACGCGCTCGATGTTCGGCGTGGGAGCGTCACGCTCTCCGTGGCAAGACCATCGGAACGCAGGAAAAACCTGGGGCACCCCAGAGGCGAGCAGGGTGCTCCTTGGCGTGGGCCCCCCAACCGTATGCTGGTCTTCTCTTCCTCGGTGATAGAAGCCTCCTAGATGGGGTCGGAGTAGATGGGGTCGGAGGATCGCGCCGCATCGCCGAAAAATCGGTACATGGGTGATGCATCCGCGATGTATTGGCGATCAACCGGCGATGTATCGTCGACGTGGGCAATGCATCCGCGACGCCGACGTGAAGCAAATCGGGCTCCACATCGAGCCGAATCGCCGATGCATCGGCGATGCGGAACGATCCTTCGAGATGTATCGTCGACGTGGGCGATGCATCCACGACGCCGACGTGAAACAAATCGGGCTCCACATCGAGCCGAATCGCCGATGCATCGGCGATGCGGAGCCATCCTTCGAGATGTATCGTCGACGTGGGCTATGCATCCGCGACGCCGACGTGAAGCAAATCGGGCTCCACATCGAGCCGCATCGCCGATGCATCGGCGATGCGGAGCGATCCTTCGAGATGTATCGTCGACGTGGGCGATGCATCCGCGACGCCGACGTGAAGCAAATCGGGCCCCACATCCAGCCGCATCGCCGATGCATCGGCGATGCGGGGCGATCCTTCGAGATGTATCGTCGACGTGGGCGATTCATCCACGACGCCGACGTGAAGCAAATCGGGCTCCACATCGAGCCGCATCGCCGATGCATCGGCGATGCGAAGCGATCCTTCGAGATGCATCGTCGACGTGGGCGATGCATCCGCGACGCCGACGTGAAGCAAATCGGGCTCCACATCGAGCCGCATCGCCGATGCATCGGCGATGCGGAGCGATCCTTCGAGATATATCGTCGACGTGGACGATGCATCCGCGACGCCGACGTGAAGCAAATCGGGCTCCACATCCAGCCGCATTGCCGATGCATCGGCGATGTGGAACGATCCTTCGAGATGTATCGTCGACGTGGGCGATGCATCCGCGACGCCGACGTGAAGCAAATCGGGCCCCACATCCAGCCGCATCGCCGATGCATCGGCGATGCGAAGTGATCCTTCGAGATGTATCGTCGACGTGGGCGATGCATCCGCGACGCCGACGTGAAGCAAATCGGGCTCCACATCGAGCCGCATCGCCGATGCATCGGCGATGCGGAGCGATCCTTCGAGATGTATCGTCGACGTGGACGATGCATCCGCGACGCCGACGTGAAGCAAATCGGGCTCCACATCCAGCCGCATCGCCGATGCATCGGCGATGCGGAGCGATCCTTCGAGGTGTATCGTCGACGTGGGCGATGCATCCGCGACGCCGACGTGAAGCAAATCGAGCTCCACATCGAGCCGCATCGCCGATGCATCGGCGATGCGGAGCGATCATTCGATATGTATCGTCGACGTGGGCAATGCATCCGCGACGCCGACGTGAAGCAAACCGGGCTCCACATCGAGCCGCATCCCCGATGCATCGGCGATGCGGAGCCATCCTTCGAGATGTATCGTCGACGTGGGCGATGCATCCGCGACGCCGACGTGACGCAAATCGGGCTCCACACAGAGCCGAATCGCCGATGCATCGGCGATGCGAAGCGATCCTTCGAGATGTATCGTCGAAGTGGACGATGCAAGTCGGGCTCCACATCGTGCCGCATCGCCGATGCATCGGCGATGCGATCCTTCGAGGTGTATCGTCGACGTGGGCGATGCATTCGCAACGCCGATGTGAAGCAAATCGAGCTCCACATCCAGCCGCATCGCCGATGCGTCGGCGATGCGGAGCGATCCTTCGAGATGTAACTATCGTCGACGTGGGCGATGCATCCGCGACGCCGACGTGAAGCAAATCGGGCTCCACATCGAGCCGCATCGCCGATGCATCGGCGATGCGGAGCGATCCTTCGAGATGTATCGTCGACGTGGGCGATGCATCCGCGACGCCGACGTGAAGCAAATCGGGCTCCACATCCAGCCGCATCGCCGATGCATCGGCGATGTCGAGCCATCCTTCGTCGACGTGGGCGATGCATCCGCGACGCCGACGTGAAGCAAATCGGGCTCCACATCGAGCCGCATCGCCGATGCATCGGCGATGCGGAACGATCCTTCGAGATGCGTCGTCGACGTGGGCGATGCATCCGCGACGCCGACGTGAAGCAAATCGGGCTCCATATCGAGCCGCATCGCCGATGCATCGGCGATGTGGAGCGATCCTTCGTCGACGTGGGCGATGCATCCGCGACGCCGACGTGAAGCAAATCGGGCTCCACATCGAGCCCGCATCGCCGATGCATCGGCGATGCGGAACAAACCTTCGAGATGCGTCGTCGACGTGGGCGATGCATCCGCGACGCCGACGTGAAGCAAACCGGGCTCCACATCGACCCGCCATGTATCGGCGATGCGAAGCCATCCTTCGAGATGTATCGTCGACATGGGCGATGCATCCGCGACGCCGACGTGAAGCAAACCGGGCTCCACATCGAGCCACATCGCCGATGCATCGGCGATGGGGAGCCATCCTTCGAGATGTATCGTCGACGTGGGCGATGCATCCACGACGCCGACGTGAAGCAAATCGGGCTCCACATCGAGCGGCATCGCCGATGCATCCGCGCTGCGGAGCGACCCTTCGAGATGTATCGTCGACGTGGGCGATGCATCCGCGACGCCGACGTGAAGCAAACCGGGCTCCACATTGAGTCGCATCGCCGACGCATCGGCGATGCGGAGCGATCTTTCGAGATGTATCGTCGACGTGGGCGATGCATCCACGACGCCGACGTGACGCAAATCGGGCTCCACATCAAGCCGCATCGTCGACGCATCGGCGATGCGGAGCCATCCTTCGAGATGTATCGTCGACGTGGGCGATGCATCCGCGACGCCGACGTGAAGCAAACCGGCTCCACATCGAGCCGCAACCCTTCGAAATGTATCGTCGACGTGGGCGATGCATCCGCGACGCCGACGTGAAGCAAACCAGGCTCCACATCGAGCCGCATCGCCGACGCATCGGCGATGCGGAGCCATCCTTCGACATATATCGTCGACGTGGGCGATGCATCCGCGACGCCGACGTGAAGCAAATCGGGCTCCACATCGAGCCGCATCGCCGATGCATCGGCGATGCGGAGCCATCCTTCGAGATGCATCGTCGACGTGGGCGATGCATCCGCGACGCCGACGTGAAGCAAATCGGGCTCCATATCGAGCCGCATCGCCGATGCATCGGCGATGCGGAGCCATCCTTCGAGATGTATCGTCGACGTGGGCGATGCATCCGCGACGCCGACGTGAAGCAAATCGGGCTCCACATCGAGCCGCATCGCCGATGCATCCGCGCTGCGGAGCGACCCTTCGAGATGTATCGTCGACGTGGGCGATGCATCCGCGACACCGACGTGAAGCAAATCGGGCTCCACATCGAGCCGCATCGCCGATACATCGGCGAAGCGGAGCCATCCTTCGAGATGTATCGTCGACGTGGGCGATGCATCCGCGACGCCGACGTGAAGCAAACCGGGCTCCACTTCGAGCCGCATCGCCGATGCATCGGCGATGCGGAACCATCCTTCGAGATGCATCGTCGGCGTGGGTGATGCCTCCGCGAAGCACATCGGGCTCCACATCCGAGCCGCATCGCCGATGCATCGGCGATGCGGAGCGATCCTTCGACCCATCTGCTCCGACCCCGTCTAGGGATAGGGGAACAAACAATGACATAGAGATTAAAACTCTGAGGTCCGCGCGGCCTTCTCGGATCCGCGCTGGAGCCCCCCCCCGGCGCCGCGCGGATTCTCGGATTGCTCGGATCGGTCCGGCGCCGCCCCTGGCGCGCTCCGCGCGCCAGGGAGGGGGGGTCCAGCGCCGATCCGAGAAATCCGCGCGGACCTCCGAGCTTTTGTATTTATGTCATTGCTAGGGAGCCCACAAAGGACGTACGCGCCCAGCTATGTACACGAACACGCTCCCTCGAAGCGCGAAAAACTGGCCGCGTGATGCGGACACTCGCGCCATGCGAACCCTCGAGACCGGCGTGGACTCATGCACGTGTACGTCCTTCTTTCGCTCCTGAAATTGCTGGTTCCCCACCTAGGAGGCCTCGAGATGAAGGGAGCCTGTTTTTTTAGACTCTGGCAAGTTTACTTGCATGGACGGGGGGGGGGGGCTGAGCCTGAAGCAAGCCGCAAACGACTTGCACGTTCGGGGGGGCGCAGAAAGCACGCAAGTCGAAAGGCACTTGCACGCTAGTATTCGCTCGAAGAGGGGCGAGGGGGGGAGGGGGGGGGGGGGGGGGGTGCGAACGCCATGCAAATAAACTTGCCGGAATCCAAAAAAACAGGCTCAGGTCGGGCGGCCGCCCCCTCGCCGGCCGCGCAGCCGCGGGCGCTCCTCGGCCCACCGCGCGCGCCGCGCCCGAGCCCCTCACAGCAGCCGCGCGGGGGCGCCGCCCGCGGGCCGGGCCGCCGCCGCGGCGCTCCTGCGCCGGGGTCGGGCGCCGCTCCACGGGGGGGGGCCAGCAGCTGAGCAGCAAAACGCTCTGGAAGCAACACGTACACACATACACGCACACGTACATACATACATGCATGCATACATGCATACATACATGGATGCATGCATGCATAAATACATACATACATGCATACATACACACAGACAGACAGACGGACAGACAGACAGACAGACATGCATACATGCATACATGCATACATGCATACATGCATACATGCATACATGCATACATGCATATATGCATACATGCATACATACATACATACATACATACATACATTCATGCATACATACATACATACATACACACATACACACAGACACACAAACACATACACACATACACACATACACACATACACACGTACACACATACATACATGCATACATACATACATACATACATACATACATACATACATACATACATACACACATACATACATACATACATACATACATACATACATACATACATACATACATACATACATACATACATACATACATACATACATACATACACATACACACATACACACATACACACATACATGCATGCATATATACATACACACATACATGCATATATACATACATGCATGCATACACACATTTATAGATACACACAATCATACATATACCGCCACCCCACATCATAAGGATGCGCGGCAAGGATGTAAGGGCCCTGGAAGGCCATGCCAGCGCTTTGGGGGTGGGCCGCGGACATCGACAGCGGCCAGGGATGGGCCGAAGGAAAAGGATGCAAGGGTAACTCTTGGGAAGGTTGCCCATCTCTACCAGGTGGGCTGACTGTATGACAGTAAATACAAATATGCATATTCACAACATTCTCACGGAGAGAACCAGAACTGGGGGCTTTCCGTGAGCCCATCGCCTTGAAGCGCTTGCTTTCCACGAGCTGGCCCGCCGCGGCCGGTGCTGCTGCGCCGCGGTCGGGCGTCACTTCGTGGGTGGGCGGTAGAGTGGGGGCGTTGACCTAAGGAACCCTAAACAAGGACCGAGGCCCCTTTTTTCCATAAGTTGAACATCGATTTCCCATCGAAAACATCAGGAAACCCTGAGGCAAGCTGCGAAACAATTCAGGAACACGGAGCCCCTCCACAAAGAAAAGGGTTCCTTCTTCAGGGCCCCGACTGTAGAGCCGGGGGCAACCACCTCCGCACCTCGCGCTCCGCGACACGCGGTGATCGCCGCGCTTCCGCGCCGCCCCCCTCCCCGGCTCTCCCCCGGCAACAGGACACGAGGGGCCCGCGCCTCGCCCCGACATCGCCCAGACCGCGAAACACGACGAATCCTCGTGCCCCTCGTGGGAGAGCCCTGGGTCGGGCGTGTGGCCCTACAGGCGTCTTTTTGGGCGAGGAAAACAATCCCCAAACGTTGAAAAATGGTCCAGCTAGTCGAAAAATCGTCCTTCGACTATTTTCTCGATATGTTTGAACATTCCTCCTGTAGAGGGACCGCGGGGGCCTGAGCGAGACCTCGCCGTCCCTGGGTGGCTGCGATCTGCGACACTGTCGCCACGTTAGAGGGCTGCTGGTGGGTCCAGCGCAGTGAGGCACCGCGGGGGCCTGAGCGAGACCTCGCCGTCCCTGGGGTGCTGCGATCTGCGACGCTGTCGCCACTTTCGAGGGCTGCTTTATCGGTCCAGCGGAGTGAGGCACCGCGGGGACCTGAGCGAGACCTCGCCGTCCCTGGGGGGGCTGCGTTAGTGACCACTATGACGCCCTTATATCTTGATCGGGGGCCTGCGAGCCTTCCAATTGCTGCTCGCAAAATCACAAGCGTCCATGTTACGTCATCGCCCCCGTTGTAGCAATCCTGATGTACTTATGCCCCGCATTGCGCAAGGGTTGGCTACGTCGCCAGGGCAATTTCTCAATATTTTTGAACATTCCTCCTGTAGAGGGACGTGCCCGACTTAATGGTAGCCTTAGAGAAAAGTGGGGGGAGAGAAGGGCAAGGGCACCCTTCGTGCCCCCTGTTGGCCCCAGGGGCACAGAAGGTGCAACCCTCTTCACCCCCACCCTTCGGTGGCAACTCGTGGGAGCCTCCCATACCATCTTGTCGGCTCCTGCGAATCGACGCTAAATCGACGCCAATCGACGCTAGTCGACGCTAAATCGACGCTCCTCGGCGCTAACTGACACTAGACCGTCGCTATCTCACGGCTCCCAAAACGCTAATCGACGCCAGTCGACGACAAAGACGGTGCTAAGAGGACATACGAAACTCCCATGATATGCCACCGAGCCAGCCTTTGTCGCACCCCCGTTGCTCGACGCCCGACGCGGTGGCCGACCTCGGATCCGGGCGCTGCAATTATCGTCACAACGGGCGGCTTCGCCCGGATGCGGGCCCAGGGCCCCGCACAGAGTGATGCGGCTCTTGTACACGGCGCAGAGATGTGGTCGACAAACGCGTTCCACGACTCGTAAAATGGCTACTCGCAAATGGCCTGGATCCGCCGCGGTGGATTTACGATCCATTCCATCAAAGAAGGCATGTTTTTTATGTTCCGGACGCTTGCGAGCAGGTATCCTGCGTACTCTACGAGTAAAGGAACGCGTTCGGTAAGATGGGGTTCGTGGCTCTGGTCGTGATCCTGCATGTTTAATCGCAACGTCGGATCTCAAGGGATCGGGGGGCTACTGACTCCGGTCAACCCAGACCCGGGTCAGCCGGGCCTTGCAGCGTCCTGCATGATCCTGCAGGCTCCTACACCCCCGAGCCCGGGCCAGTGCGCCCCTGGCCCTGCACCTCCTAGTACGAGGAGGAGGAGGAGGAGGAGGAGGAGGAGGAGGAGGAGGAGGAGGAGGAACGCCGCGCCACCGAAGGGTCTCCCGCCGCGCACGGGACGCGCGACGGACTGCCCCCCGGCGCCGCCTTCTCACAGCACGGAGGCACCGTGGAGAGGGGCGTAGAAGACGACGGCCATCAGCGAGCAGACGCCAAAGCCGTAGGCGATGTGGTCGGTGGCGAGGGAGACCCAGGCGTATAACAGGGGATATGTCGACCTCTATCCCAGGCTTCGTGTGTTTTCCGAATGGACCAGAAATCTGGGGCCCAACCCTGGGATATACAATGCCGGGGCGTCCGTCCTCGATAGTGGTGCGTCCGAATAGCCCCCTTGGGGTATATTCCAGGGCTTCCTTCTTTTTCTGAGCGGCCGAACTTTTCGGGCGAAACTCGGGGACTGGGGGAGAAACATCGCCTGCGACCGTAGGCGATGTGGTCGGTGGTGAGGGAGACCCAGGCGTACACGAGCCACAGGAAGCGGACGACGACCAAGTACACGAAGCAGCGGCCGCCGACCCGAAGCCAACATCACGGAGAGCAGCTGCTGACCGACATGGTCGGAACAGCGGCACGAGGGCTGTGGATGCCATGACAATGGACACTGTAACAATTCATCATTGAATTAAGGACGTGCTTAAAATGCGTGAAACATGTTTCAAATATGTGTCTTACATATGTAAAACATGTTTGACACTTGTTTTAGACGTCTGGAAGATGCTTGGCAGCATGCTTCCTCTCCATTAATCGACTTCCACAACACTAGAGCAAAAAAACCCACGGTTCCCCGACACGGACGAGCCAACAAACAACAGCATGCTCAATGGCACGGTCGGTTCGCAGGAGGCTGCCACGTTTCCTGGGCGGCAGACCCACCTCAACCTGCCGACCAGCCTCGAGTTGGCTGTTGCGGGTCGCGCGGTTCTTCGCGAAGCCGTCGCACAGCTTGCTCAACTTGCGGAGTGTGCGCTTGTTCGCTGCCGAACAGTGTGCACCGCAACATCGGCAGCAGATGGCGTCGCCCTGGCGGAACACCTCGTGGCCCAACTCCGCGAAGGCCTCCTCGATGGTGCCAGCCTCAGCGAACGGAGGCTCTGCACGAGGTGGCACGTCGCCGTGTAGCCTCGTGGCCGCCGCAACGGCGATGACCGCGCACTGATCCGCACAGTCCTCCCACTCGTCGCCGTTGCCCCGAAAGAAGGCCGCGTCGAGCGCGAGCGGCAGACCCGCAAGGATCCCGACCGAAGCGTCATCATGGATGCCTCGGTCCTCGCGGTGGCTCCACGCCTCTTGCGGCGGTACTCTCCAATGGTCCTGCTGCGCGCAAGAGCGTGGTCCGTGCTCCTCCCCACGACTACTCTCTGCACGTCGTCGCTGAGGTGGCGAGGGACGTCGCTGTCGATGCCCCGGGGCTTGATCACTACGACCTGCATCGCTGCCCACGCAACATGCTGACGCACACGCCCGGTCTGCTTTAGTGCCGCCGTCATGGGCTCGGCAACCGAACTGGCCTGCGCACGCGACGCAGCCCAGCAGGAGGAGGAGAGGGAGGAGGAGGAGGACAATGAGGAAGAGGAGGAGGAGGAGGAGGAGGAGGAGGAGGAGGGAGAAGAGGAGGAGGAAGAAAAGGAGGAGGCGGAGGAGGAGGAGGAGGGAAAGGAGGAGGAGGCGGAGGAGGAGGAGAAGAAGGAGGAGGAGGAGGAGAGGTGAGATGAGATGAGAGCGGTCGCGAAGCGAGTCAATATAAATTTAGCCCTGGCCGCACGCTCAGCCTGGCTGAATACTTTCGGCTCCAGATCTCTCTCTCTCTACACGACGGAGGTACTGCCTGCCAGTAGAAGTGATGGGTTGGCAAGGGGCTACCAACCTCTTGCTTGACCAGTAGACCCGCCATTGCCACATAACCACACCAACAGAGACTCGTGGAAATTCATACTGTGGGAACAATGGACCACACCCCCCGCGACATTTAAAACCCGACCTCTAGGCCCTTAGGCAAAACAGGAACTTTATCCGAGACAGCCACAAGAGAAAAATGCGGGGTCCCGAGCCAACACTTGAGGTTGGGGCGGTACCTTGAGGGCAACAACCTCACTGCATAGCCGGTCCAGAGGGTGCTTCTTGATGGATCTCCAAAGGTCTGTGTTG